TCCATCACAAAGTACCAAATCTATCTCCTCCCTGCTATCCCACAACAAAACAATATCTCCATCGCTACTACATCCAACCGCCATCTCTCCCTACATTTCTCATCACGACGGCAAACATTGACCTAACAGAAAATTAGTCTTCTCATCCCTAACCTAGCTCTCCGCTCCCCATAACAAAAAGAAAAGGAAAACTTACTATAATAAACACTCCCAACTACACACTTGCTCCCACTCGCACAAGCCGTCGCACCCGTCCACCCCTGCCCCCCACACTGCGCATAAATCGCCGCAATCCCTGTTCCCGTCGCCACCGCACCACTACTCGTCTTCGTAACCGTGCTCGTACTCAGCGTCGACGACGTTGTTGGTTTCGCAGTCGAAGCAGAAGCAGAAGTAGACGAACTCTTCGCAGTGCTCTGCGCAGCACCACACACAAATGGCGTAGGACCTGGAATCGTATACGTGGTGAGCGTTTGATAGATGTTAATCAGGATTCCGGGATCGCTCTGTCCGTATGCGCCTGGGAAGGATACGGTGCTTGGAGTTGCGGTTCCGGTTCCGCCTGAGACGTTGATTTGTGCGCATTCCATGTATAATTGTGCGCCTTGACTTCCTCCTGCTGAGTGGAGCGCTATCAATTCTGCTCGTAGGAGATATTGTCCGTTGGCTATACAACTTGGTATCGTGATAGGCTGTACACCTGCGTTGTTTATAAGATCTGTGGTTGCCCATTTTTGTGTAGCTACGTTGAGTCCTTGCTCGGAGATTTTGAACCAGCCGGTTCCGTAGCCAACGTCGGTGGTTGCGTCGGTTACTTTTTTCATGTAGGCCATGACGGGACCGAGATGAGATGGGTCGAGAACATATGTTGCGTCGTTTGCAGGAGTACTGTCTAGAGTGTGACGCCAGATGGCGTTTACGGTGCTGCCAGCAACGACATTTATGATATTTGAGGAGGGTGTGGTAGGATTGGCCCCACCATTGCAGGCGACATATTCAGTTGTTACGTCGTTTATGGGCTGGAGATGTTAGGGATGATTGTCTGGTGTGGAATTGAGACTTACTCCATCGTATGTTGGGGTTCGGATGGCATAGCTGGTATCTGTTTGCTGTGAGTGAGATATTTGCCAAAGAGAAGAGAAGAGACAAACTGTAAAGTGTGCCACCTGATTGCAATTTCATGAATATCGTATGTGCAGAGACGTACGATAGAAGAAATGAAAAGGGTATAATAAGTTGTAACTTCATGATTGAATCGATTTATTGAAAGTTTACCGTGTGTAGACTGATTCTGGACACAACTTTCGGCAGAATGAGAAAGGCAGATATGTGATTTATATGTATTAGAAGATGGTTCTCAGCCACGTGGTTTTGTATATGGGCTTCATCACTGCCCGAAACTCCTGGATAAACCTGGCCATCACCGTGTATACCAAATTGCTGCCCGCAGAATTCTCATGGACTTTCTTGGCGCTCCAGGTTTCCAACCATAGAGATGTAGATATCAAACGACTTTCAGCAATGAGAGCAGCATCGCCAACCCTAGATTTCTTGACCGTACCAATGAAAATACCCAGTAGTTGAGAATCGACGAAACACCTCCATGCCACGCACATAATCTGGTGTAAAAAAAAATCACTCTAATATAATTTCATTTATTTCCTGCCATGTGAACAAAGATTCGGCTGAGATAACAATAATTCCGTCTTGATATATAATGTTACCACGCTAACAGTAAATGAAGGCGCCTAGTTGATCAGTAATTGGTTGATTGTCTGAAGAGAGCTTGATGGGGGTATATGTCAAGATCTTAGCGGGAAGCAATTATGTTATAGATTGATGAGCTAGGAAATCTTGACACGACACTTGTCGGAAGAATAGATGGGAAAATGGAAGGATGAATAGCCTGACAAAGGAGATAAGCGATGGCATACACGTGATAAACAGCATGTTCCGCACTTGCAGAGTGATTGACAAACTCGAGATCGCGAGTGAATAGTATACTTAATCGTGGATGAATGTTGCGCTTAAACAGAAAGTAGGTATGGTATAACATTGATCAAAATAACTAATGAGTTTTTATCCTCCTATGTTCCGTAGGCTATCCCTATACTGCTCATGTACAATGATTGAATCACCAATAACTCCATGAAAGACGAGCTCAGCTGATCGATCTTTCAGTACTGTATCCAACAAAAGAAACTCGAGCGCGCCCTTCCCCCCATCCTTAGGTTATACCTGACCATGAAGAAGAAATATTCCAGTCCCCAATTCAGCCTGACTAACAAATGAAATCCTTTATCCACCTAAATTTTCCTACAACCTTTTCCTTCCCTATACCTCGTTCAATCCAATATAGTTGTTATCACCCATCAACGCCGCTTTCTTTGGATCCACCCCATATTCAAAAACATCTCCTGCATGTACAAAGTGAAACATACATTGCACAATCAACATCTGTGCTGTATCCATGAAATACATATAATACTCATGACTCATCAGTGTCCCTGTCGACCCTTGTGAGAACTCAATGACTCTGTATACACATCTGACAATGATCAAGACCGCGGCTGCGAATAAGAGCATGAGCAATTTATGCCAATGTTTTTTCCCACTAGCTGGGGTATCGAAAGCTCTTGGATGTGAGCGCATGCGACGTTCGAAAGTAATGGCGATGACGAGGAAGATACTGAAGAAAAGAAGTTGTACGAGAAGTCCGCCAACGATGACTTTTTCGCCAATTGAAGTCATGCTGGCCGTTGACATCATACCACCCCCGCCAGATTGCATAAGAAAAGAAACAACATCTCCACCAACGAATATTTTAGTGACGTTTTTAGGAGAGATAACAGATGCAGACGGTGCATTGACAAATAAGACGATCCTGCCGTATATCATGTAAATGGTTGCTGCGTAGAGAGAAGGCGGAAGGATAATGAAGAGCGATTGGCAAGAATAGAGCATTACAGATGAAGTATTCTTTGCTGAGAGATATCGAAAGGCATAACCGGCAGTCATCACTGAGTTAATAGGTTAGAATCGGCTCGTTAGGAAGTAGCAGAAGCTTATTGGAGACTTACTGAAACCTCCAACTACCATGGCTGTGTAAAAGTAGGTTTTCTTTCGAAACATTGTAATGAGATGATAAATTGCACTCGCTCCAAATAATGCAGCGGCAACCAGTGCAATGGTCGGGCTAGGTTTATAGGCATAAAGGACATACACCATTTTGAAGATTTAACGAAGTTGATTGATCGATTAGACTAAATCAGTAAAGCACCAATGAGTGTATCGTGAATAGAAATAAGAAGATAAACGACAAAACAAACACTCGCTCAGGATTGTAAGATCGTAAGATTGCAAATGAAAAGGCAAAAGAAGTAATGAATGTATTTGCAGATAAAGATAGTGTTGAAGAAGATGAAGATTGATGTTTGTAGAGGGTGCACACTCATAATATGTACTCAAATGGTAAACGCTCAAAAGTAGCACTAGATCTTTTCAATGGCCATTGCTACAGCAATTGGAAGGTTTTTTTTTGCATATTGCGGCCATCGTAAATCGTATTCGCGCTGTCCATTGAGGCGCATGCAAATGATGTTCTCCATATCACACTCATTCTTACTTAAATCGATACCCGGTGGAGACCCTTGAGAAGATCCAAGAACACGGCCGTTGAATCCCAAAATAGAGCACCACTGGGTACATCTAGGCTGAGTTAACTATCCAAAATCCAGCGAGCATTAAATTTATGAAATTATCGGCAGACAATCTTTGAAGATGGAGAGGGGTGAAGTACGATAGACGAATCAGCATCATGAAAATATGATGAATACGCGGAATAATAAGACGAGATTGAAACTTGGAACGTGCTTCGAGTAAAGTTCAGGAGCTTTCCTAAAGGGTCCGTATTGAAAGCAAAATGCGAAGAAGAGATGAAGAATCCACTTTTTATTCCCCAATTGTACCGGCGAATGCCGTTTCGTTCATAATGCGAGATGCGAGGATACGAGATGCGAGATGAAATGCGACAGAGTCCGAGGAGAGCTTGGTGGTGGGAGGAGGAGAAGTGTAGTATATAAGGTACAGTGTGAAACGGCGATGCTTGGTGAGATAATTTGTGAATATATTGATTTTATGTCCTCAATGGAGTTACCATCAGCATTCTCTGATGCTCAAGGTAAGATCTTACCAAGAATCAACTGGACAGCTGTTGCCCGATGCCCCCTTCTTCAATGGTCTTGAATATGCATCAGGCCCTGATTGCGGCATCTGAAATATTCACCGGCATGTGTGGGTGTTTGGTTCACAAAGTCCGGAAGATATCTATACCTGTAGGGCTGAAGTTGGTGAGAGCTATAGTAGTTGACCATGTCTTCTGGAAACTGTCCTGCAGGAATCTAACAGATGTTCTAGACCTTGGGTTCAGCTACATAATGAGATGTTCCATTATATGGCATCTCTCTCTATCTTCCGTATCAGGATCATATGAGAATGTTTGTCGTTCTCCGATGATTAGCAGAGGACTCAGGCAATGAAGTTGTGATTGATACGAGACATCGAAATATTTCTGTTGGATCTTTCAATCACGTGGGAGGAAGCGCATGAACAAGTTCGAGTCCGAGTCCGACGTCCGAGATCTCAATGCGAGTGCGAAATACGCGTATAGAAAAAGCTTCAGCCAGTTTCATCCTAACATCCTAACATCCAATCTAGAACATTAAATCCACAGCACACAGCATGAACATGCAGAAAAAGGGTAGAGATGGCATTGGCATCCTTTGCTGGGACCAAACACGCTCAATTCGGTATTGATGCACTGCCTCTATATACTCAGGTAGGTACTCTTTCGATAGTCATAGTCTAGTCAAGTATCGTTTGCTTAGATCAGTGGAAAGTTTTACAAATATCCCTCATCACATTCTCATCACATTCTCCTTCCAGTTCATCCTTTTTCCTAATACCACATCATACATTCCCTATCTTGATTCCCAGATACCATGGGCGTTCCTGAACAACAGCCGAGGAGGAGTGCAAGTATCAATTGGGATGCTCCTCCTCCCTACGAAGAATTGTACGCGTTCGGTAATGAAGAGTCTGGTGTCTCTACTTCAGTCCAAGGTGATGAATTCTATTGACGGTCTAATCAAGGAATTTTACTGACACCACTAGACAATGGACGAATTAGTATGGCATTTTTGGGTAATACCTCACCACTGCCTCCAATCTATTCACCCGAGAATATACCGCAAGTAAAATCAGAGCCCGTGAAATCGTATCCAAGACTTAATGTAGTCATTCAGGTAGTTGGAAGTCGAGGTATATACATTCCCACTTTCTCAATGTCGAGAAAAATCAGTTGAACTACGTTACTGATCAGCTCCCCCAGGTGATGTTCAACCCTTCATAGCCTTGGGCAATGAACTTCAACTCGCAGGGCATAGGGTGCGTATTGCTACTCACGATGTATTTGAAAGATTCGTACGAGATGCCGGAATAGAATTCTATGCAATTGGTGGCGATCCAACGGAATTAATGGCAGTAAGTGTACTTTATTCGCATCTCCTAACATACATACTTACGGCCATCCCATCTAGTACATGGTCAGAAACCCCGGAATCTTTCCAAAAATAAGTACCCTGGCCAGTGGAGAAATATCCAAGAAAAGAAAAATGATATCCGCCGTTCTCGAAGGATGTTGGCGATCCTGTGTCGAACCTGATTCTAAGACTGGAGAACCATTTATCGCAGAAGCAATTATTGCCAATCCACCGAGTTTTGCTCACATACATTGTGCTCAGGCATTGGGTATTCCAGTTCATCTTATGTTTACTATGCCGTGGTCGGCTACAAGATCATTCCCTCATCCACTTGCAAATATCCAATCTACCGAAACAGATCCTAAAACAGCGAATTTTCTTTCTTATGGATTGGTTGACACGATGACTTGGCAAGGGTGTGTTTCCATTATATATTCTTGATCTGAAAATCTCTAATAATTTGATTATAGACTTGGAGACGTAATTAACCACTGGAGAAAGAAGTCCCTTGATCTTGAACCGGTCCCTGTGATGGCTGGTCCTCATTTAGTAGCTTCTCTCGATATCCCATTTACATACTGTTGGTCGCCAGCACTTGTACCGAAACCACAAGATTGGCTACCACATATAGGTTTGTAGATTCAGTTTCTTCCAAATTCTAGTACTGATAAAGCTTTTAGATGTTTGTGGATTTTTCTTTCGTCCGCCCCCATCATATGATCCCGACGCGAGGATTTTAGGATTTCTGGAAGCAGGCCCAAAACCCATTTATATAGGATTTGGAAGCATCGTAATGGAAGACCCTAAAGCCATGACCGCGACGATTATGGCTGCAGTGCAAAATTGTGGTATCAGAGCAATTGTATCGAAGGGTTGGAGCAAACTTGGACAGGAGGTTGAGAATGAGAATATTCTGTTTATTGATGATTGTCCTCATGGTGAGAGATGCATTAATATGATGATTTTAGCATTAACTAATATTGATAGAATGGCTATTTAAGCACGTTTCGGCTGTCATCCACCATGGTGGAGCAGGAACAACAGCATGTGGATTACTCAATGGTCGTCCTACAGCGATCGTACCATTTTTCGGCGAGTATGTCGAGAATTATCATGCATAAACTCCTCCACTAACTTTCAATAGCCAGCCATTCTGGGGAAACATGGTCGCAGCAGCCGGTGCTGGTCCCGCACCTATAGAGCAAAAATCTCTTAACGTCACCACTCTCTCCGATGCCATCAAATTCCTCCTCTCCCCCGATGTAGTAACGGCAGCACAAACCCTTGCTTCAAGAATCCAACACGAAAATGGCGTGAAAGAAGCCGTCAATTCATTCCATCGTAATCTCCCCATCAAAGCCCTTAGCTGTGCGCTCTTAACTCAACAACCCGCAACATGGTATTGGAAAAAGGGTAAAAAACATCTCAACTTATCTCACCAAGCTGCTGCCATTCTCGTCGAGAAGAAAAAAATAAACGCCAGTGATCTTTCCTTGTAAGTTCACCTCCTCTAGATATGTATTCATCTATCTATTTATTTATTTGTCCATCCATCCAACCTCCATACTTACTCAATGTCCCGCGACAAAGATACAAACCCCACCCCATAACCATCACCAACCGTCGCTGGGACCCCTGGACTGCCACCACCTCCGCCGCCTTCGACAGCGCCCTTGACATCACCCGCGCCATAACCAACATCGGACTCGACTACCGCACCGAATATATTCGCGCTCTAGCACGACCACTCCGTAAGAAGCAAAGCGAAACTGGCAAAGGCATCGAAACCGACACCGACACCGCCTCATCGCGCAGCGCTCTACAAGCGAGCTCCATCGCGGTCGGAAAAGGGTTCGGAAAAGTCGGCATCGCGATGAGTAAGACAGCCATCGATTTACCACTCGCGGTTGCGGATGGCTTTCATGCATTACCAGCGCTATATGGGGAGAAACCGAGGGAGTATGGACAGGTGAGGGACTGGAAGAGTGGAGGTATCAAGGGAGCTAAGGTTTGTTTGTTCCTTTTTTTTTCCTTCTTTTTTTCTTTGGGATGGGATACGCAGACACATGAGGAGGATACAACAAGCTAACGATGTATATCAATCATAAAGAATTTCGGCTATGGAATCGCAGACGGCTTCACAGGAATCTTTACACAACCCATCCAAGGCGCCATGCAAGAAGGCGGAAAGGGATTTCTGAAGGGTCTTGGAAAAGGCACGGTGGGGTTTCTCACCAAACCTGCTAGTGGTACGTTTTTAATTATTCTTATCATTATATTTTATTTGATGCACATGATGAATATCCTCCCCCTCTTTCTATCGCATCCAGAGTCTCCCACCTCCCCAAAGCAAACTCGCTAACCCCCACCCCCACCAGGCGTCTTCGGACTCGTCTCCTACCCCGCCCTCGGCCTCTACAAAACCCTCAACACATCCACGCACCAAGGAACACAGGGCAGAATTCTCTTGGCACAGCGGGAATACGGCATGCATCTTGCGATGACGCGGCAGATTTCCGAGGAGATGAGTGAGAAGATTGTAGAGGATTTCGAGTGGGTGGTTGAGGGGGCTTAGGGGATTGTTGGGAATGAAGTTCGAGGTTTGTTTGTATACCCATGCGCACACATATACCCTTTTTATGAATCAATGAACAGTATTTTGCCGAATATTTTCTATCCCATTGTGCAGACTGTTTGTATGGCTTGCTTCCCAATTCCTTCTGCCTGAATACCCTCCATTATTTTCACTTCCTTTTCATTTTCAACGATCTTCTGTTTTTGCTCTGCCTTTTCCGCTTCATATGTCTCTTTTCGCTGTGCAACCTGTAGGTATATGGATTGACAGGCCCCTTCTCGACTTCCAAAATTTGTAACATATTCATTCTTCAATTTCTTGATAGATCTCTTGATCTTTTGATTGTTCAACCTTTGATGAATCATTGTAACAATTCTCTGACAAAAATCGACCCGAGACTTCAAAAGATATTGTCAAATCAATGTTTATAGTGTTCCATTAGTCCGTACACCCACTGGCGGAGGCACTGCGCGTAGTAGTCGCAATGAAGCCAATGAGGTAGGATCAAGCCATTGAGAGAATTGCGCTTTAAGTTGAACTAACACGATTAATATCTCCGTTATTTGACAATCCATCATAAATAGATCGTAGCAAGTCTTCAGCAATGATTTCGATGGTCTTCCAAAATCTAAGCCCCATAAGATGTTCGTGTCTGTGTATCCGAAGCAAAAGTAGCAAAATTCTTGGCAATATGCCACTTGCAAATCATTTGCTCAAGCAATCGTTCATCAAAATTCTTCTCTCTTTCCCGTCTCATGTCATCCCACCACGATCTGTCAATCGATCCCGCTTCATCCCCATCACTTATTTCATCCATCCCCATTCGCACATTAAGACATCTTCGCCAATTCAGAGCTCCTCTGTACTATGACACCACATTGCCAAACTAACAAGTGGTAAAACCATCTACGAGATACAATCATCAGTACTTTCATCTCATCTCACACCCCAACCAACTTTCTCATCTCAACAAACCCACAACACAAATCCATCGATCCAGCAGCAGAGTTGATAGGGAGGAAAACCCAAAAAACAAAAGAAACATACCAAATCTGTAACCTGACAACAAAGTCTATGTTCCAACACCGGACAATACGCACCATCATTTATATTCCTACCTATAAATTCCCACATTAGCATACACACATATACAACCCCCAAAAATCAAGAAACTCACACCCCATCCCATTAACACTATTCCCATTCAACACAAACCCAAACATCCTCGCCGCCGCCACCACAACCGGTTGATCACCATCCAGAATACTCGGACAGCATACCAGCGCTCCCTGATTCACATCTGTGCATGCTGCAGAATGGGTGGTTGTTGTGAGAGCAGCGGGAGGAGCGGAATTGAGTGTTGAGGCGGTGATGGTTATGTTTATGAGAGTGTCGAGGAGGGAGGTGAGGGAGGAAGAGGGGGGGGAGGGGTGTTGGAGATGCGAGGGTGAGGGTGAGGAGATCATAGGAGAGGAGGAGAGAGAAGATGGAGAGGGGGTACATGGTTGTGGTTGTGGTTCTTTGTGTGGCGGGATGGTATTGGTGTGCCTGGCTGGCTGGTTGTTTATATGTATGAGAATTGAGGACTCGCAAAACGTAGGTAGGTAGGTAGGTGGCAGGTATGCACGAGAGGTAAACAGACACCAATCAAGCAAGTTCCAAAGTAAAATCTAGCAAGCAACAAACCAGTAAGTAATCAGACCCTCAATCTCAGCACCCAAGTGAGTCGGAGTCGTGAAGGCCAAAGAAAACAAAAATTACAAAATCGACTCTCTTTCGTCTTGGGTGCACAACCAACAAAAGAGAAGATGAGTATGATGAGTATGATGAAGATGATGAAGAAGATGAAGAAGAAAAAGAAGAAAAAGAAGAAGAGAGAAAAAGAAGAAGAGAGAAAAATCCATTCCCAAAATTCCCAAACTCAACTTCTACATCGACTCCCAAAAAGGCAGGCAGGCAAGACTCAGTTCCTTCTTCCTTCCTCCCCCTCCCTAACAACCTATCAAATACTCTTCCCTCACCTAAAACACAATTCGCATTCTCCAGAGTCTAAACATACTGAGTAAATATACCACTCACTCAGCAAATCTTCCAGAAAGAAAGAAAGAAAGAAAGAGGTAGGTAGATACCTATATCAACTTACTACCTCATCACCTCATTACACTACCTTCCTACCAACCCAAGAACCATCCAAATTCTCATTAAAACTTTCATCCAACCTCTCAACCTCTCATCCAGACCAAGCATTTCCCAACTTCCCAACTTCATAAGAAATACCTAATAATCCCACCAAGCCCCCCTATCTATCCGTTCATCCATCTATTCATTTACCCATCTATCCACCTATCCACCTACCATACTCATCTCACCTCATCTCACTCTATATATACATAAATATTCCAATCAAGTATCTCTCCCCCCCTTAGAAAAACGCAGCACGGCAAACCTCTACCACACTTTTCCCCCGCCCTTTATAATTGCAAAAAGCAGCAGCAGAGAAAAGCAGAAGTATAGGAAAGCATCTCCCTCCTTCCTACCCTACCCTCTTCCTTCTCCAACTCCAATTCCCCTCTCTATCTTTCTTCTTTGCCTTCTTCAAATATATATCCCCACAACTTCCAACTCCCGACTTCCAATTCCCTGAGGGCCTAGTAAATAAAATTATACACACACACACACACACACACACACACACACACACACACACACACACACACACATATATATATATATATAAATATCTTTAATATAATCCATTGATTTATATATTCATTTATTAATATACACATACATACACCCACCCCCCCCTCTCCCTCCCCCTAAATTCAATTCTTATCATACCAAACCCTTCATCTCCCCATCCACCTCCCCTTCTCCCCATCTCCCTTCCTCAAATTCCCTATTTCTTCCATTTCTTTCAATACACTCAATACACTCAACACACTCTACCCATCTCCCTGCCCCATTTCTCCTCTTCCACCATACATCCCCAATCCTACTTCCTCTACTCTTCCACTCTACCCCCTTTCCAATCAACAAATATATCTCTCACCCCCTCCTCTTTCCTTTTTTTCTTTTTCCTTTTTCTTTTTCCCCATTTCCATCACCACCACAAAAAAAAAAACATTAAACTCACTCTCACTCCTTACCCCCTTTCCTCTCTTATTCCATCAACACCACCAATCATTCACATCTTCTCATAAATCAAAAGAGCCCCCAAATAGATTCCAGCCAAAGAATGACAAAAATAGTACATAAAGTCGGAATAGAAATAGAAATCATTGTATTCATTCATGCCCACTAAAAACTCCATCCTAATTCATCCCATGTAAAAGGTACCAGGGCATCATATATTTCCTTTCCTTTCCTTCCAATGTAACTCCTTAGGTCATTAAACACCTAACCACACACACCTAAGCCTTTGAACACCGAAGAAAATCAAATTCCACAAGACCTAATCGAGTCTTAAATCAACAGAAAAAATAAAATTTCTCTGAACATCCAGACCATTATTTGCCGGTCGCAGAATTCGTTGACAAAACTTGAGTAGGAGCAATTCTTCTCTTTTTCTTTTCAGGTCCAGCTCCTGTATCTTCCTTCTCACTCTCACTTACATCTCCCGGACGTTTAACACCCACCACCGAACCTGTAGTACTTCTGGGAGTTTGTGGTGGTGTTGTCATGGGAACCCCTGAAGTGGTATTTGCTGCTGCAATACCTGGAACACTACTTGATAATGGAGTTGGATTACTGATAATTGTCCCCATGGCTGATGTTACATGAGATGATTGTGTTGCAACTGAAGATGTAGAATTTGACCGAGTGGGTGAAGAAGGTCTGAAAGTGGTGATAGGAGCTGGTGGAGGCGATGGCGCAACCATAGGATTTGAAGATGTTCGATGATGATTATTGGAAATTGGAAATGGTGATGGAGGTGCAATCCCAGCTGTTGGTGTTGCCATGGGAGTATTTTGGGTTGACGAGACTGCTGAACCACCAATGAATGAACGTTTTGCAGTGGGTATTTCTTCATCATAAATTTGTCCAAGTTCACCAGGAGCAAAAGTTAATGTTGAACAGAAACCATCCGAAGATGTCATCAATAATGTAGTTCCATCAATTGACCTAAAATAATCAGTATGGATCAAAATCTATAGGTTAGAATAAGCTTACCATGATAAATCTGTAAAAGTTGCACAATGTAAATTGCTCACAATGCAAAGCGGGGTTTGTTGTTGTGTGTCATACAATAAAACTGAATCCTCTGTGGCAACAGCATAAACCATCCGATAAGGTAAAGAAAATGCCATTGTTGGACCTTGAGATGTTACGTTCGTTTCAACCTCCAAAGATTTTGGTTTAGATGAAGAACTAGGTCTCGAGGAATCACTACTTTGTGATACAAGTGGAGGTGGCTCCATTGAAGCATTCGATGGCGATTTGGGAACCATTGCTGGCTCTGGCAATGCTGCCATTGTGTCATCAGCAGATGATGTATCGATTGTGATATATTTTGTAATTGGCGGAGGAGCTTTTCTTGTTGTATAGTAAACCGGAGAGCATTTGACAGCCACAGAAGGTTTCTTGTGTCCCGGTAAATGTGCAACAGGAGGCTTGTTGATTCCGCCTCTTGTATAGATGTAGACTGTATTAATCACTTCATACATCATCTTTGCACCCTCTTCTGATCCCTTATGTTGGGTTTGGTATTGTCCGGCTGGCGTAAACAGAAGACTACCATCAGGTGTGAATGCGAGTCTTCGGAAAAATGACTTGAGGGTTTCATTGGCGTAGATATGGGCATTTTTGACTCCAAGTCCAATCATCGAATATGGTTTTGGTGATGCCTCCATAGGCATAACAGCGGGTAATGGCATTGAAGGGGCAGGAGAGGCTGATCTTCGCATAGACATTGCTGGAGAAGAAGCACCAAATGAAGATCTTCTACTGTGGCTAATAACACTAGGAGGATTCATTGGTAAAGCCATCGAAGTTGGTGTACCTGGACATGATGGTCCTGGTGAACCTATTGTATTTGGGGTTTCTGGTGGAAATTGTGAACGGAATCCAAGCTCGGGTGGTGCTGGACTGTTAGAGGAAATTCGTCTACCAGGTAAATCCATCTTCAAATTATGTCCAATCCTTTTTGGTTCTTCCCTATTGTCGAGACTGAATTGTCCGTCTTTCGTTCTCAAGGTATAGATGTGTACGGATCGATCGGATGATTGTGTCGCGATATATTCATTCAATGGATCCCAAGCAACACCTTGAACGTAATGTTGATGTTCAGCGATTTGTCTAATTAGTTGACCTGGATAAAATTGATTAGTTTCCATGGAATGACAAAAGTATGGATCGCATACCAGTTTGAGCATTGTATATCCTCGCAACATTATCCATACTGCCAATTATGAAGTACACGGAATCTGGGGACCAAGCCAAATCGTATATCTCAGCACCCGACGATCTACACATATGTTTGGTTCGCCAGGTTTCCTTTTCTTCAAATCCATCTCCTCCGAATGCAGGCGTAATATTTGAAGCTTCGCTAGGGACCCAAAGGAGCACATTTCCGTCGTCTCCAGCAGATGCTAGTAATTCCCCTACAAGATTGATTAGCCTCATTTCATTCCACCTGGATGTGTGTACACTATGCCTTCATACCTTTCGGAGCCCATCTTACTACATTAACTGCTTGTGTATGCTTTTGTAGAGTAGCTAGATAGTCAATCTTGCGGTCTTCTCCTTCGGATTCTATCTTCCATAACTGTATTCCAATCAGTATTTCTCTCACATTTCCAACCCGGATCGATTGAGCATACCCTAACATTTCCATCTCCTCCGGCAGTCGCCAATCTTCCTTTCCCAGCCTTTTCCCAATCGCAACTATATATGGGAGAATTCTGGTCATGCCAGTTGATGATCAAAGGTGTAGCTTTCATTGTGCCGGCGTTTCTCGAGGTCGATAATCAAGGTTTTGGAGTGAGTGTTTGTGCGAGGGATGACCGGTGTTCTTTCGTCGTTCAATTCGCGATCCTTTTGTTTGCAGAGTATGGGGAAAAGGTGAAATTAGATGGATAAAGAAGAATGATCTGATTGAAGTGTTTGAAAGGTCTTGGAAAGGGTGTAAAGTAGGATTGCTGGTGCTGGCACTGGCACTGGTACTGGTACTGGTACTGGGGTTGTGGTTTTGAATTTCAGCACGATAGAAACTTTAATCATCCTCTGGAGTTGCAGATAAGAAAGGTACCCAAAGATTGCCTACGTCTTCAAAGAGGATGGAGGATATTGAAGTTGAAAGGGTCTTGTGTTTGCGAATGAAATCAACATCAAATCCAGTGAATTCAGTACAAAGACCAAGACAGAGAATGATCAATTGGAAGTTGGAGGAGGAGGAGAATAATAATAGTAGTAGTGGTAGTAGTAGTAGTAGCAGCAGTGGTAGGGTAGATGTCTCATAAGGTTG